CACCTGATAAATAGGATGAGATAGAGTATGTTAAGGATAGTGAGCTACTAGTTGTGATTATATGGCCACGGTGATGTAATAACCCAAAATGGGCGACCCCCATTACCTTGTCCATTCTGGGCAATTGCACTTTAAAATAGGATATTTTCTATATGGTAATGTGTTTTAGGATATAATGGCTACTAGTTGGGCCACGGTGGTGCAATTACCCAAAATGGGCAAGGCCTATCCTAACTCATTAACCCACAGAGTGTTTTGTTAACATGTCATTATTCCGGGGCGAATTGGCTTCTAACCGTCAACCATTAACCCCCAGCCCTTATCGCTACTCCCTTAACCCTACACCCCGAACCCTAAACCCCTAAACTCTACACCGGCATCGCTTGCAGGAAGCCGGTCAGCTTCTCAAAGAAGGACGCCGCGAGCAAGGCCCGGCGTCGTTGTCCGGCTCTGAGACTCCGGCATCCCTCTTCCCAAAGGATGCCCAGTACCCACAGGATCCGGTTTAGGCTTTTTGATTTTAGGGTACAGGATTTGGGTACGGGCGCTATGTAATTGCCTATATGGGAGATACTTACCCAAACCATATTTTACATTCCTCCTTGGCAACCCTATTTCTAAGTACGTAGGACCGGTTGACAGCGCAAAAACCTTGGCCCTGTAGGCCTTAAACCCTGAATCCCTCTTGGCGATGACACCTCTCGGACATCTCCTAAAAGTAGCGCTCTGTTCTGGTTCCATCTTCGATATCTACTGGCTGGTTGAGAGTTGAGTGGTCAAGATCCAGGACTCAGATTTTGGGGATTTGGGTACCCACCTAACCTGGAGCCTTGTAGCCCAGACGAGAAACCCTGAAGTCCCCCGAGCCCGAAACCGTGAACCTTTAGCTTTAGACCCTCAGGCTAACACCGAATCCTGAAACCTGAAACCCCAAACCTTAAACCCGAAAGCCTAAACCCGAAACCCTGCACCCTGAACCTGAAGCCCTAAACCCTAAACCCTACACCCTACACCCTGAAGTTTCCTAACCCCACCCCTTTTTGCCAACTGCGACCAGGGCCAGGAGGAGGAGGATCTCGAGGGGCCAAGACCACTACCAGATGCTCAGCTTCTCGGATCTAGGGCTAGGGGTTTAGGGTTGGGGTGGTCTCAATAAATAGCATGTGTATGTATGCATGTATGTATGTATGTAGGTAGGTAGGTAGGTAGGTAGGTAGGTAGGTAGGCACGTAGGTAGGAGGTAGGAGGCAGGCAGGCAAGGAGGCAGGGAGGTAGGTAGGTAGGTAGGTAGGTAGGTAGGTAGGTAGGTAGGTATGTATGTATGTATGTATGTATGCATATATCATATATATATATATACACATTCAGATAGATCGATAGATAGGCAGATATAGGTAGATGAGATGTATTTGTGTGTATGCATATGCATGCACATTTATATGTATATATATATATATACACACACACACCTGTTCACACATTTTGTGCCCAGACATGAACACAAGCTTGCTGACATCGTATGTGGTTGATGTGGCAGTGAACTGATGTGACGTTGGATTATTTTCGGGCTGGGGAGAGTAAAATTGAGAATGTTCACGGTGTGGGTCCGAGGGCATTCGATAGCCTGTAGCCCAGCTTCCAAACTTCGAGAGACTACAAGACCACACAGCAACAGGCTCTGTAGAACTGTTAAAAAGGTCCATGTGCCCAGCTAGGAGAGTTTAGGCGCCAGCTACCAGTCACCCCTGAGTATAGCAGTTGGGATGTAAAGCACTTTATTTGGCCACTTGGACTTGCGTCTGTATGCCTGAATCACATGAGGTCCTGCAAAGCGTCCACCGCACATGTCTATGCCATAAACGAGAAGACTCGGAACCCTAAATCCTTCACCCTAACTGGCAGACCTTTTTACCAGTGGTAGTTTCATGGTGCAATGATCCATCTGGGACAACATCCTTGCTCCTTCAGACAAATGGCCATGCCACTTGCGGCTTACTGTTTCCATGTCCAAACTGCGGCCAGGGCCATACATATAATAATTTCCAAAAGCCCTACAGCCGATTCGTGGTTTAGGGTATGTACCTGAACCCCACTCCCGACCTGCACGCCGAACCGCTTTGGTTTAGCCTAACTTCGTTCTAAACTCCATGCTGAACCCTGAAACCTCTAATGTAGGGGCCTTAGTAATGGTTCCTTATATGAGCTATAGTACCATGTACGCCCAAAACCTATTCCAATTGTTAAGGCCCCTACATTAAGCTTTCGCTGGGTCTCTGAAACCTTCAAGGCCCAAACCAGGAATCCGGAGAGTGTTTAACCTCACCTCTTCCGCATACTCATATCCATAGGCCCCCCCAAGGCCTGAAGCTTTAGGCCAAAATCCCGAAGCGATTTCGAAACCCCGAAAACCACCCTTAATAAAACACCCAAGCCAACGGCTTTAGACCTAAACGCAAAACCCCAAACCCCGAAATGCTAAACTCCAATAGCTCCTAAACTCTTAAACCCTAAACCCTAAACCTATCCAAATCTGCAGTTCGAGGCTCGAGGTTGCTGTCGTGGGAGGCGGTCTGGTGGGCTTGGCATGCGCCCTCGTCCTTCGGCTCTGTCCGAAGGCTTGAGGTGGTTTCAGGGGTTCAGGAGTTGAAGGTTCAGAGTTTAGGGTCTTAGAGTTTGGGGTTGAGGGTTTGGGTACTATTCTCGGGAATAATGAGCTCTTTGGTTTGGGATGTAGTCGCTGTAGGATTGAGGTTATATAGGCGCCTCAATCACTAGACTAGGGCTTCTGGAGTGCTTTTTACTTTTGGTGGTATAGTTTTCATATCATTACGGAACCCAAAGGGGTTGTATTACGAATTGCTTAGTCATGTTCGTTTGCGTGGATGGGCTGGGTGCCAAGGTTACATCGCTGACGACCCAGGGCAAAAAACGCATCCGCGTGTATGACCGGCGGTGGAGAGACAGAAAGGCGATTTGGGAGTTCCAGACACGAGTTCAATGTCGATCATAGATATTAGATGGTTAATGTGTGTAACCCCTGTGCTCAAGGAAAGTTTCGTGGCTAGATTTGTCGTTGAAATTGCGTGGCTTGTCTATTCAGCATTTCAGAATTTACGGTTTCATGTTGGTTCGGGGTTCTGGCTTTTGACGACTCGGGCTTAGGCCCCAAGGTTCAAAATGTCTTTATGCCACAAGCTTTGGGTGCAGTTAGGGCTCGAAATTCCCAAGAAGCCGTCATTCCGGGCATTTGGGCGGGTAGCAGGGCTCGGCTGTGACCCCTTATGGTTAGAGTCTCAGGGAAAGGCAGGGGAGTTGTTCAATAAATGAGTGTCCCAGGTTGGATTTGCGCAAGGGGTACCTCACTCTTGAAAGGAGGACCCTGCAAAGGGACACCAGTCAATCCTAAACCCTAAACTCCCTAAACCGCTAAACCCTAAACCCCCAAACCCCTACACCCCCTACCCTAAACCTTGAAGTAAAAGTGGAAAACCCGTCCCCTGATCCTCACACACTATAGCCCTAAAAGCCCTAAGTAAGCTTGAATGCACCCTAGAAGCCTTAAATCCCCATAATGTTTCGGCTAAGAGCATCTTATTATGTTTAAGGCCTTTCCGGAGCCAGGACTCTACATGGCATGGGAGTGTTGAGGGTTCTGGGTCCATGGTATAATTTTAAGTTGCAGGGTTCGCCTTATTCTCATCAAACCTTAAACCCGATTGTAAGGGTCGGAGTACTTGGAAATATTTTGGCCCCTATAGCCTTATATGCTCGATGCAAAAAGCAATGAACCCCAAGCCCTCATTCTCATCAGTAATGGGCCTCTACAGTAGATCCCGGAGACGGGTGTCCAGTCATGAAGTTCAGTAATGCCCTATAAAGCTTAGGGTTTAGCGGTGGGGTTTTGGGTTTAAGTTGTATGAACCCTAACAGGACCGAGTGGAGTGGCAGCAGGAATCGAGACGATGCGGCGTGGTGAACCTGCGGCTTGGCGCTTTCAGGGTTTAGGGTCTAGCGTTTAGGGTCTAGGGTTTAGGGTTGGTTTAGGGTGGGTTTAGGGTTGGTTTAGGGTTAAAGGCTCTAAATCCGAAACTTCAGAGGGTGTGCACAGAGTCTAGTCAAGTAGGCAGCCTTTAACGGTTCCGGGGCAGTATAACCCTGCTTGAACACATAAAGGTTAACCTGTAGTTCCCTAGGATAATACTCGAGAACTGAAGGTCCAGGGTCGGGATTTGGGATTTGGGGGTTTGAGATCAAGGGTGTTGGGTTCGAATTGATGGAACGTTTGAGATAGCTATCTCAAGTTCTTACACCTCGAACTTTGAACCCAGGCCGAAACTTTGGAACCGACTATGTTGCAAGTCTAATGGCTGACCAGTTTTTTTGTTATTGCCATCGCTCTTTTCTAAGCACATTCCCACGGCCTCGCATTCCTAGCCACACAAGCATTTCCTACGCCCGACACCCGGTCTGTCTATAAATGCATCTGTAAAACGGTAAACCCTAAACCCTAAACCCTAAACCCTGGTTGAAAGCAGCGGATGCAGGCAAAGCAACACATGGTCGCAACTTCCCAGTGAGCTGCAAGAGCTTCGGCTTCATTTCATCGTGCTGTGCGCGAGCTTCTGAGATTTAGTAGAACCCTAAACCCTAAACCCAGCCCAGGATAGTCGCAGAATGTCTGAGAGATGAAAACGACGGGCATGATTTCAGGAGGATTTCACGGAAAGTGTGGTTATCATCGGGGGGATGCGATACATGGGCAAAATGCGTTCGACACCCCGGCTGTAAGCCTTGGAGCATCTTGAAGCGCTTAAACCCTAGACCCTAAACGCTGCTAATATCCCGGAACAAACACGTCTGGCAAGTCTCCACAAAATTTGAACCTGGAAGCCCTGAGGCCCTTAGACAAAGCGGCAAGTCAGAAGCACCCAGTTAATATAGAAGCCTAAATAAATACCATAATCTTATTTTGGGGGTTCCTGATTATAAAAAAACAATAAAGGGGCCCAAAACCCTATTCTAATTATTAAGGCCCCTACATGAATTGGGAAAGGAGCAGCTCTTCGTGGATGGTGCTTTCTGCGAGCAATGGCCCCGGCAGCGCGAGAGAAGCCTGGCAAGACCGGAGTTGCAATGGGTTTCAGGAGCTTCGAGAGAGCATTCTGGTTTGAGGGTTGGGATCTAAGATGATCTAAGCCCTAAGACACCAAGTACAGAAATGTTAATTACATGGGGGGGTCTACAGATTGATATGTCCGTGGGCTTGCCACTCGCATTCTTTGCGAATCCGGGACTGGCACTTCTTGGTTCAGGCTTTGAGATCAGGGCCCTGGATTTAGGGTGCGTGACAGCGATTGCGGATTTGGCTTGGGCTAGGGCTTACAGTAGGGTTTGGTGCACACGATGCACCCGAAAAGTTGAGGTGTTTAGGTCTTGTGCAGATAGCCAGCAGCCAAGTACGACTACTGTTGCAAAGACTTCCCTTCACTCCTGCTACCAGTGCTAGCAATACCCTGGTTCGGTCGGGCAAGAATGGTCAACCTTCCCTGTGCGAAGCTTCATGAAACGCCGTTGGAAATGGCAAACGTGAGAGAAAACCCGGCAACAGCAAGGATTTGGGATTCGATTGGAGGTGTCGTAGATGATAAGAGGCCCTGAAGCAGCACACTCACCTAACACTTAAACTAAACCCTAAACCCTAAACTTACCGTCATCTTCTGTATGTCTGATCATGCGGACGAAAAGGGCCCTTAAAAAAAACACTTTCCGTCAGAAACCTATGAAGCTCCCTACACCTCAAATCGCAAGATGGCCCGGGCAGTGAAGGCTAAACCCTCAGCCGCAAACCCTAAGATGGCAAAGGCAGCGCTGAAGGCTATCCTCGGAACCTGGATTTGCAGCAAATGGAGGCTTCTTGACACGGTTTAGGGTTTAGGGTTTAGGGAGCTTCTCTATTGAAGGATTCTCAGAGCTGCCCGCAGGCCCCGAAAGACCTAAACCCCAAACCCTAGAAGCCTAATCCCAAAACCCCCAACCGTGAATCCTCCACAAGGAGGCTTAAACATACAGCAGGTTTTAAGTTTCAAAGTGTTTGGATATATAGGTAGAAGGACCCATCAAGTAGGCGTTGGGCTTGTGGATAGTTGTTATGCAGGTTGGTATTCGCCGAAGTGAGTACTAAGTACTGGCATCCTTGTCGCAAGAACCCACGCTGGGTCAATGATCCTCAGAAACCTCCAAACCCTGAAGCCCTCAACCCGCTTACCCTCAAACCCTAAGGGGAAAATACCCAAAACCCTAAAACTCAATGCCTTGAAACTCTGAAAGCCTGTCGGCTCGGCTTCCCTTGCAGACTTCAGAGGCTCGTTAGGCTTTAGGGTTTTGGGGCTCTTTCGGGTTTCGAAATTGACCGGATGCCCTAATTTATAGCAATCGTTAGGCCCCCCCCCACAAGCCTACGTCGTCAAGAAAAATAGAAGGACGTTTTGCCAAGGAAAACGCAAGCATCGGTTGTTTAACGGGTTAAAATGGGGCCTAGGGCCTAGTGGCCCTTTGCTTAAAGGATCAGTGGACTTCTATAGGTATACTTTAGCATGTCCCAAGACCCTACTCCAATCATTCAAGCCATTTCCTCGAGTCCCAACCGTCTTTCCTGAACACACGGTTCATCACATAGGATTCAGGGTTTAGTGTTTGCTCCGAGCGCCCTGGACCCTGAGCCCTAAGCCCCAAACCTTTGAACACTGATGCTCTTTAACGTCAAAAAAACTAAGCCCTAAGCCTTTGGACACTGATGCTCAGGATACGCTCTTGCAGATGGCGCAGGAGTCGGATCAGCGAGCTTCGGTCGAGCTCTGTGTTCTCCCGGAAGGAGCTTGGGGGGGGGGGGGGGGGGC